TTACACAAAATTGATTGTCCAGGATTCCAAAATCATTATAGATTTATTATTTCAAGAATTTAACAATTTTAGATTTTTTAGAATCATCTCATTAGGATGGTCATTTCAGTGATAAAATTGTTCAAAATGGATAAATGGATTAAAAGTTAAAATTTTTTTATATCCTCATTCTAATTTATATTACATATGACTAACGCTTGCCTCGGATCTAGAGCCACCGAAAATCTGCGATAGCACAATATGCGCATAAATATGGATTTTATCGCATAGCATATGGATAGCATGTTTTACACATCAAAAGGGTTTCGCATAATTCAGGGCATAATTTATAAATTTTTTAGCATAACAATAAAATTTTGAAAACCCGGAAGATTCTGATACAGACGATCAGCGAATTAGAGATGCAGAATTTTCGGCCGACATTTAGCAATACCGATACAAGTCAACCATTTTTGGGCCTAAATTATCAGTTGGGCAGTTTTTACTTAATGAATGGGCTATGACTAGGGTTGTGTTACATAAATTGCAATTTTACATTACACGTAATTTTACAGAAAATTAAATTTCATGTAATTTTACAGAAAATTAAATTTCATGTAATTTTACAGAAAATTAAATTTCATGTAATTTTCACACGGCATACATGAAACTTCAGATTTACAAAATTTCGGCAGCATTATTGCATTATTTGATTTGAATATACGATCCGAATTGTAACTCCTAAAACGCCGAAAATTTGATCTCAGAACTAAATGTCATGTGTTCAAAATTACAAATACATGAAAATTTAACAACCCTAGCTATGACTTCATTAGTAAAACTTTAAGTGATTTTGGGCAAAATTAGTTAATTCCGGTACTACTAATCATGATTCCAGGTATTCCAACCCGGAAATCTGGGGACTCCTCGTATGAGTTAGAGGTGCAGGTGTAATTCCATAACTTGTCGTAACTAAAACACGTTCGGGTTTTTCGGAAAGAAGCGGACAGTCAATGTTTTTTGTTTTGAAGTAAATTCTTATTTGATTTAGGACAATTTCAAAAAATGGCAGAATTTAGCAGAATTTACAGCATAAACAGAACGATTTTATCGCATAATTTCGCATAAACGGACCTATGAAGCAGGCAGAATTTGGGGTCTGTCGCAGCAGAAAATCGGATCACAGCTGACGCACCTCAGATGCAGATTGTCAGGTGAGGTGAGTAACCTATCGATCTATCACCTAAGCTGCAATCTGACGAAAATCAGAGAGTAAAAATAAAAGACCTTTTACTTGGACCTCTTTTTTATTTTTAATTTTTTGCATTTTCTACTGGTAGCATTCTTAAATCATTTTGGTGTATCTCCAATAGCGTTTTTGAATCTCTGGTACTTTATCATCAACAGTAGCATTCTTTTACATTAAGTCTCTTCAGCACCTTCGCTTTTTTTAAAATTCTTTGAATTTTCACAGCACATTCTATTTCCAATTAATACGTACTTTTCTTTTCTCTGCATATAGTTTTTTTTTTGTTTAAATTTTCGCGGCATATTCTTCCTGTCTAAGTTTTTTAGCACATTTAATCTTCAATAATTTCTATACACATAATATATTTTTTTTTTGTGTTTATTACCGATCGATAGGTTAGGGACCTCACCTAACAATCTACATCTGAAGTGCATCAGCTGTGATCTGAGTAGAGATGGGCAAGGCAATTTACTTATTACGTAAAAGTTAATAATATATCGATATACTTACAACTAATAACATACTAAATTGTCGCATAATGTGATTTAACTTTACGTAATAAGTAAATTACCTTACCCACATCTAGATCTGAGGCACAACATATGTATACGTATATTTTTTTTATTTTTATATATTTATGTATATATTATATATATATATATATAGTATATTATATTATTTTTATTTTATTTTATTTTATTTTTTTTTTATTATATAAAATTAATCGCCGTCACGAGTGTCCTATACATTTTTACCAATCATTTTGGTCATGTGCAAATTTAAATCTCATGAACTATACAGATAAAAAATCTGTATTTGTAGCATCATGTCTGATTGCGTAATTGTGAAGTGCATTTCTGAACAATAACTATGTGCTGATTCATGATCACCCTTAACAAGACACAATATCTGTGGTTATTATACCTTTATACGTTACGTACATTACTTTCTTTGGGATCCTAAAAAAAGTACTGAGGTGCTTTGAAAATTCATTGTACAAAGCCGAAAGTCAAAAGCTGTACCGAAGACCCAAAGTTTTACCGAAAATCGAGTCTTATCAAAAGTTCTACTGAAAATCAGAAGCTTTGTCGAGGCAAGACAGGATATTAGGTGTAGCAAATAGATAAAAAAAATTCCGTCGCGAGTGTTCTGTACATTTCTGCTAATCATTTCATTCACGTGCAAATTTAAGTCTTACGACTATGAAAAAACTTATTTGATGGGAAAAACCTATAATTATGACTGTGAAATTTTTTGCTAATTCAAAATGATATATCTCTGATCAAATTTTGCAGATTACAGCATCGTATCTGATTGCGTAGTTGTGAAGGGCACTTCTAAACAATAACTATGCGCTTGACTTAGGATATAGGTTTACTCATTACCTTTACGCATTACATTACTTTTTTGTGGGTTCTAAACACAATAAAACATGCTAGGTTTATTGAAATTTAAAATTGCATCCCGAAGTTTGGTATACCGATAACTGTTATCATTATTAGTGTTTCACTGAACAGTTGTGAACATGAGTTTGGACATTTCTGGACAAATAACGATAAATAAATTAAAATTACTCAAAATTTTATTAACCTATTTTAACTTTCTAAATAAAAATATAAAAAAATATATAATTATATATTTTTTAAATTAATATATTAATTTTTGAAACTTGAATGCGCTGTGAACATGTGAATGTTTAAACATTGAACATGGCTTAAAAAAGTCTTGGACGTAGTAAACGTAACAACATTAATCAGTGTTGGCCTATGACCTTAAATGACCTATATGACCTTTATGACCTATTATATCATAATGAAGGTTGATATGACTTATGACCTTTTTTAATAAAAAATCATAGTAAAAATTTTTTTATTAGCATTTAATATGACCGACATGACTATAACCAAAAAGTCATATGATTATATGACCAAGGTCATATAGAAAAAAATTTATGACTTAGGTCATCAGCCAACACTGACATTAATCATTATAATAAATTTGGTTTATTAATAAAAAACCAAAAAAATTGTATATAAACTACCTAGAATTTAAAATATACTATATTAATATTCTAATTAGTCTTCATTATATCGAAAATTCACTATAACGAAATAAACTATATTTAAATTATATAAAAAGGCGCCAGTGGTGACCCACTAACACTTGTACTATATAAATCGAATGTCTATCGATCAATTACATTATTGTGATTAATGGCGGTTACGAAATTGTTTTTATAAAATACCGAAATAAGTATCGTTTATTGTCATCATTATCGATCAATAATTACAATCTTTAAAATCAAATTAATATATTATCAATATATTTAAATATTACTTTCACTTAACGTTAATAATGTTACTTTATTAAAAACTTGATTAAAATACAGGTTACCCTCGTTAATATCAACCTATTTGAATTGGTTTTAAATCATGTTGATAGTGATATTTAAAGTTGATATATATGAGGGAATTTGGATATAAAAATTTATAAAATTTTGTTTTGTGGCTTAGGTTGATATTAACGAGGTTGATATTAACGGGGGTAACCTGTATTATACATAGTTGGTATTTGATAATGACAAAAAACTTCCTCCCAATTCTAATTTTAAATTTTACCGGTAAGATTTACAACAAAATAAACATGCCGTAAATTTTGAAATCGCATATTTAACGTAGCATCATCCGAAAGAAAAAAAATAAAAGTCAAACCTATTGTATACTAAAGAAAAATAAAAAATAATATTAGTAAATAGCCAGATAAATAGCCAAATAACTAGTCAATATTATGTGATATATCATACGAAATTATTTCCCCTCCCGCCTAGACAATGACCCTAGCGTCGCCCGTAAAAAATGGTAGCCGGACAAATTTGCCGGTTACGTGTGATTTCAGATCTGATTACTGGCAATCTTGATTACAAATTATTCATCAATAATAACAAACCTTTTCTTTTCTACGTTACTTAGTTTTTTTCTTTTTGATTTATTTAAATTTTTTTTTCTATGTAAATTTAAATAAAAAAAAATTTCTTATCATATCGAAACAGCTAACCAAAGTCTACATAGGGTGTCATTACATTCAAAACTGTGAAAACTTTTGGATAAAAAAATTTTTTTATGTATCAAAAAAAGTGTTCACGGCATGCTAAAACTAGGAACTTTTAGAGACAAAAGGTATTTATTGTTGAAAAATGTACATTCAAATTTCAAATGACGATTTATTTTAGTAAACACTTTTTGTAATTCAAATAGATTACCGTCTAGTACAATTGTTGGTTTGTAAGTTCAATATTGTAAATACTTTTTCATAATTTAAGTGAAATAGGTCTTTGGTAATTTTTTGTTTATTGGTTCAATATCAAAAAAAATTGTTTTTTTTTTGTCTTATAAAATATGCATACATAGTCAACATTTTATATAACGGACTAATGATTCTGAATGCAAAAAAAAAGAAGTTCAATATACAAAATTATTATATTTTTTTAAGTCATAACCCTTTCTATACAGAACTAATGTAAAATTTAAGGATTTTTAGTTTGTTATTTTGAGAGTTTATTATAGAGAAGTTTGTTGTAGAGTTGACTATATGTCTACGTGTATAATTAAAAGAAAGTTACAAGCCAATAAAAAAAAAAGAAAAAATTATGAATTAAAAACTTAATAACTAAATTTGAAATCTATCTTATCATAACGAATAATAATTTTTAAAAGATTAACTCCAATGCTTTAATCAAAATTGTTCGATAATCTGATCCAAAATCATATGTCATCTACAGATTTATCCAGCTATCATTTTTTACGGGTGACGCTAGGGTCGTTTCGCCAAGACACCCCAAAAGCCAGTAACCTTAGTTAAACACCCTTATATCAAGCCGATAAACACTAATAGCACTTTTGAAAGCCAGACGGCCAAGACGAACATTTTGCTGACATACCAAGATTTATTACTTCGATAAAATTTGTAACTGATTCTTCTTTGAGAATCAATAGATCTTATATAACTACCTTTTTACGTGCATGTAAGAAAATAAAAGTTCAAAAAAATAAGAAATTTAAAAACGGCAATGAAATTTACAAATTTCATGCTTAAGAAAGTATAGAATTTTTCTACGAATTCTTTGCAAACGAGGTACAGTTGTTTGGTTTTTTGACATTTTGAAATCAGTGAACCAAAAAATTACGCTTTACTAAATATAGGGGTGCTCAAAGTTTATAGACAACCTTCATGTTTCCGAAAATCGTCTCCATTCATAATACTGAACTTCTTGTTGCGGGTACGTGGCATTGTCGTTTTCTTTTATATCCGTTTTTAAAAAAAGTGTTTCATCTTAAATCAAAAGAAGCTTTTTTTATGACACGTAGTTGTTTTTTACGTAGATTTCTCTTGGAGGACTTTGATAAAACTACAGATAAATTTTAAACAAAATATATCAGAGATTCTTTACGATTATATTTGTCCTTATCCACCAAAGAGTTCATACTACCCAAAGTGCATTAGAATAATTGAAGTATTTTGTGATGACATAGTGATGACACAGGTAAGTAATTGTTATTATAAAAAAATATTAAGACGTTTTCTTGAAAAACGGAACTTTTTTTAAATATGTGATAGAGAATTTTTCAGGTAGGAGAGCTTTACATGTATTGGCTAATTTGAGTGCAATTTGATGTTTGATGAAATTTTTGACTTTTTTCTCGTCAATTTTAGAAAATTGGCATTTGTAGATATTAAAGAACTTGTCAAACAAAAAAAAGATCTGTATTTATATAAATCTAACGCTAATTGTTTGATTACATAATTATAAGTGATGTCATAGAAGAAATTTTCTGGATTGGTTAATTTTGTAAATATACTCGTGATACTCATGATAATTAACCAATCAAATTACAATATCGATTGCCCGGGTAATATACGTTTTAAAGTACATTCACTATGCAATAAATCAAACTTTGGTTACTGAAAATATTGTTATAATCCAATTACAGAATTTCAAAATCATTATAGATTTGTCATTTCAAGATTTTAGTAATTTTAAATTTGTTAAAATCGTCTTATTAAGACGGTCATTTGGTGATAAAATTGTCCAAAATAAATTAGCAGATTAAAATTTATTCACTATTAAATTTTATTGATATTTATATAAAATATGAACATGGTCACCATTTTGATTAGTCTATATTTTTGCATTTGTCTTTATCTAACTAGTGAAAAAACTAATATAAATCCAGAATACAAAAATATATTGCTTTATTAAATCTTTTTATTTGTTTACAGTATTTAATTCATCGTGATTGTCTTATTCATTGATTAGGTAATTTCAATGATCTGATGTAAACTTTAAAAAAAATTAATAAACCATTTTAAAATGCTGTAGAAGCATAAAATAAAAAAAAAAATAAATAAATAAAAAATGATAAGCATCCATTTGTGGTTATCTGGTCACACCATGATGAAGTTATTACTCATTCAGTAATCAAAATTACTCTTTGATAATTACTAGATCTCCAGTCACCATCCAGCTAAACAACAAATACCAATAAGACTCTTAACAGTTATCAAGAGTAGGCAATTTTTGAGGAAATAACAAAATAATAAAATTTTTGATTGTGAATGAATGAACATTAATAAAACCTTTGGTCGTGAATGAATGAACATTAGTCATTTTATTCGGTAGTGACCACGAAAACAAATATTTTTTTAAAGAATGAAAAAGATGTTTTATTAGTTTATATAATCTACGTGGTTATACTTACTATCTAGCCATGCCAACTGGAAGACTAATACCATGCTAATTAAAAAAAATGTTGCTAATAAAAAAAATAATGCTAATAAAACAAATGTTGCTAATAAAAAAAAAAGATGTTAAAGCAAAGAAGTTGCAAGAAAAAAGAAAGTACTTGTTTTGATAAAAACGTAACTGATATTTGATGATGTGTTGACCTAAACGTAATTAGAGCTTCGTATTCGTTATTCGAATAAAGAATTATCTAATAAATAATTCGAATAGGCAAATTTTATTCGAATAAGGTAATTTATTCGAATAATTTTTATTATTCATCATGTGAAAACTTCAGTAATTGGCTGATTCACATATAGTGACTATATATATTGTCACGGATCATAATGAAATCGGATTAAAATGAAATGAGAGGTTTCTATTTGTCCCCCTAAAACCCACTTATACTTGTTTATTATAAAACCTACCCCTAAATCCTAATCCTAACACTAAAAAAATGCTAAAAAAGTGCACCCCAAAAATTTGTATTTTCCGGTGGCTTGTCTATTTTACAATATCTCTCATTTCATTTTAATCTGATTTCATTTTAATCCGTCACATATATTATTAGCTGCATCGCATTAAAAATTATATGTATTCGAATAAATAGTACTTATACTTATTCGAATAATATTAGTCATTCGGCGAATATTCGAATAAATATTTGTTGATTTAAGTTATCCAAATATTATTCGAATAAGAAATCTAAACGTGATTGTTGATTATCATATTAAACAATCGCGTAAATATAATAGGATTGGGTGAAACCCGCGTTGTAAATTAGTAAAATCCGTTACGTAAATGAAATCCGCGTTTAGCTATGTTTTTTATTATGCCAAAGCGAATTTCACCCTCATGTGATCTACGTAGCAGATTTTACTAACTCACCATATGGGCCAATATGTACCTCTATGCAGAAGAGAGACCCCCGTACCTAAAACTTTTTGATAGTGGAACAGGTTATTTGACAATACAATTATTTGGCAGACAGCTCATTAGACGATTAACCATATCATTTTTGAGATGGAAGGTTTATTTTTAATACTACAATCACAAATGGCATGTTTCAGTAGGTCCAGGCTAATAATTAGACGATAATCTAATATTCATTAAATCCTTCTTCATAATAGTGCAGAATGAGCCCTCACTAAATCAAAACAAAATTAAATAAGGGTTTAAACTAAATTTAGTGACTCTATTCAGGGCCCAATATTCGCCGATTAGCCCATATGAGCGCGGATTTCACCCTGTCGTAATATAATTTTATTTAATTAAAATTAGGGTTTTCTTTTATTAGGGCTAAGGTTAGCTGTAAGCAAAATCAACAGTACACCAAAATAGGTTTATTCTTGTATTTTTCGTTTTTTCACTTTTTTCTTCGTCGGGCTGATCAAAAACAAACAAGTTGATTGGCTGTAAAATGCCCCCGTAAATATGCATGTTTTTATTACGCTAAAGTACGAATATAGACGCGTAATTACCTTTTTGATGCGACGATATAAGACAACTAATGATTTAATCAAAAACGTAACATTTGTATCACCAAGTCCCGGACAATAAAGTTAAAAGCGTATTGTAAATCCAACATTTTTAAAGTGTTATGAAAATAACAAAAGTAAATTCATCTGGTGATTATATCCTCGTTTTAGAGTATGCAGAAATGGGTTCTTTGCGTAGTAATCTTCACGCAGTATCACAAATGGAATGGAAAGATAAATCAACATTATTATATTTTATTGCTTCTGACCTTACCTTCAAACAATCCATTTCCAAGAACTTATTCATAAAATATTTTACAAGATGATTTACAGCAAACCTAGGACCTTTAGCATCAACAAATATGGCATTGAATGCAGAAAGACATGGTGTTTATGGAATTTACTATATATAGCACCAGAAGTTTTAATACTCAACAACATCGGATATTTACTCATTTGGAATAATTATGTGAGAAATTCTATATGAAACATCAGTATCTTATAATCAAGATTTTGAAATACGCCTTCAAGTACGTAGAAACATGCCAGAATGATTTACGACTAAGAATATTCCATAACGTACCATCAAAATTTTCGAATCTGTATTGCTGTACTGTACCGGTACTACGTATTTTTTTTACTGTTTTCCTGTTTTAACCCCTACATTAAACTGTACGTACGTACGTATTATATCAATGACAAAATTATTATGGTGCACCAAGTCACTTCTCTTCAAATTATGCTTACTTTTTTAAAATCTTATAACTATAAATTTAAAAAAAATAACCGATAATAACTATTATTTTAACAACTCCATTATATTTATTGGTTATAATTTTTTAAAAAACCTAAATATTAAAGTTATAAGCAGTTAAAGTTTAAAAAATTTGTGCAAATTTACTATGTAACATATAATCTATGCAAAATTTATATTGTTCTACATAAAATTGGCGCAAAGATTTAGTTTACTCTGATCAGATGTTTTCTATAAAACTGAATTACTGTTATTTCATTATTCTTAAGATAACAAAAAAATTTTATTTTAACTTCCATTTCTTTCCGAGGAATGTAGGTTCATTAACCATCTATATCTGAATCTTCCGGGTCTTTATATTAAAGTTGGCGTCTTGAATTTAGTCTTGAATATATCAAACCAAATTGGAGCATTTGATGACAAGTGACTTGGTGTACTGTATTGTATAATAAAATTTTGTTTTTACATATAATTCTAAATTTAATTACGATATATTGCAATTAAAGTAATTACTAAACAATAATATTTTTTGTATTTATTTTAGCATTTAAATTTAATTAAGTTTACAACGTTATTCGTATTACTATAAATTCCGTTTTATCTGAACAGGTATGTTATCTTTAATTTTTCCTATGAAATTGCTCAAAAAAAAAGATTCTTGAAAAACTTTTGTGTATACTATGCCAATGATAACTTAATACTAACTTTCATAATAAATTTCTCTTTATTCAATTGTTTCTTTTGGATGTAAGTCATGTTCACAAAATTTTTTTGGTCACTAATCTATTAGGATGAACCCGCTACGCATTACGCATTAGTCATTGACATAGTTATCATTTGATTATCCAGTTATTTACTTTCTTTTTTTAATAATTAAAATATATATTATTATAAAATTTTTATAATAGATTTTATTATGGTATATTTTTTGTACAATTATTATAAAATACACCTATGATGGTTTTGCACCTATTATATATTTTTATTATGTTTTTTTAAAAATCTTCTAAGTTTTTATAAGTTTTGTATATAAAATTTTTAAACCTAATTTTTTTATATTAAAGTTAATATTAAGGTTAGGATTAGGTTTGAAAGGGTTTTTAGAGCATATAATATTTTTATTTAGAATACCTCACATTAATTAA